GGGTAGACTCTACCCCATGAATGAGAGCAGGGTGGGTGAAGGAAGCCCCTGACTGCTCAGCTGTGCTCACTGGGGATTTAACCTCTACAAACTTAGAGGAGACTGGAAAGGCTGGCCCGCCCCCTCCTCATGAGAGACCCTATCTGTGGGACTGGGAGCTAAGGAAAGAGGGTGCTATTCTCCCGAGTGTGCTTGTACAGAAGATGTCTGTGGAGAGGACTCTGTTATGAGGGAAGGTAGGAGCCAGACATCACCAACCAGGCACACCCTTCTTTTTTTTGGGGGGGGGAGGTTTGAGACAGGGTTTCTCTGTGTAGCTTTGCGCCTTTCCTGGAACTCGCTTTGGAGACCAGGCTGGCCTCGAACTCACAGAGATCCACCTGCCTCTGCCTCCCGAGTGCTGGGATTAAAGGCGTGTGCCACCACCCAGGCACACCCTTCTAATTGCACCACTTTAGAAATGTTTTAAATAAGTATCTCTTCACACGTTGTGTGGTCTTAGGACTATTTGTAGAACCTTCCAGTGGTTTATTGGAGTTTGCTCTTTTGTCTTGTTACCACCCTAGTTTCGAGCAATTATACTTGATCCTGGGAGTGGACCCCCTAGAAATATGTTTTCAGAAGACTGTGCCAAAGGAAAGACCCTGGTTCCATCACAGAGTTTGAACTTTAATGTCCTTCTCACAAATGACAGGAATTCACACACAAGTCAAGCCACCGTGGCCGAACCCACCCTCTTCTCCGTTTTTACCTCTCACTCTGAAAGATTACAGAGGTCCTAGCTGAATAAAGGTGCCTGCCCAGTAATGTGTTATAAGAATTTCAAAACTCCAGGAAAGTATTTTAAGTAAAACGAAGAATATATTTAGACACTATAAAAATGTGGTCTTCAGGCCTAAATCAGGATTCTTTAGAAGTTTGACTCATGAGAAAAACACTTAAACAAAATCAGAAACCAGCGTGACTCAGGATCTCTGTCTCTCCTCTCTCCCTTTCCTGTCTCACCAGCTCCAAATTCACTTCCACCCTACATTTTATAACATATGAGAATTATTAAACAGAAACAAAGAATTGAATGATTAAAATCATAGAATTTAGGAAGTCTATATAAAAATGTTAAAATGGATAATAACTAATAATCTCTCTGAGTTGTTTTTATACACTAGTCTCAGCCATGGAATTATTTTCCCTTTTTATTTATTAAAGAAACCAAAAGCCATTTGGTTTCATATCATTCATTCACTCATTCATGCATTCACTTAATGAGCGTGACTTAATACCTAGTAACTGAATAGTAGTTTTGCTAGGCCCTACCACTGGTTTGGATTTTAAAACATGAGATAGGATTTAAAGAGCAAGCCAGTCAGCACACATATGCCTTGCCAAACAAAAATATGTCCTTGTTATTCTTATTCAGCTTTCCCAGAGCTTATTTACCTTCTTATAAAATGGCCAGGAAGAGCACTGTGAATGGGATCCCAAGAAACCATAAGTAAGACTGACTTTTGACTTCACATGGTTACAGCTTTAGACCTAATCGTTCACAAGCAGTGTCTTATTTTCATTGTTTCATGCAGGACATGTTGCATAATTACAGTCTTCTGAAGTCGATGCATGAAATTCTATTACCTCTTGGATATTCTTTAAAGATCGAGAAGCAAAGGGAGGCAGATTACAGACAAGTACAATGCGATCCACCCAGGTGTGCTTGTTCAAGGGGAGGATGAAGTTTCTGGGGAAAAAAAAAATCCCATCCTAAAAATTCTGTTTAAAAACTAAAATGTCTTCTTGTTTTGTTTAAGAATTTCATACATGCATACATTGCCTTTGAATAAAATCCACCCACCTCTTCCTGCCCTCTGCCCCACCCTTCCCCCATCACTATTCCTTCCCAAGTTCATGTGCTCTTTTTTTTTTTTAACCCACTTTTAGAATTCTCCTTAGTGTGCATGAGTGTAAGACAATCTGCTAGGGCATGGAGAGCCTCCCAGGGGCGCCATTCTTGACGCTCACTGACTCTCCCTCCCCTCGTGGCCATCAGTTGTCAAAAGCTCTGTGGCAGGTGGGAGGACTTCGTGGATCCTCCCCATCCGGGCTAGGATTGTGGTGGGCTTGATCTTGTGCATCCATTCGCAGTCACTGTGAGTTCATGGGCACAGTGGGCCTGTCATGCCCTGGAAACAGTTTTGCTGTGGGTTTCTTCTACCTCTGGCTCTTTCATTCTTCCATGTCCCTCTTTGGTAAGCCCAAACACCCCCTTTTTATAAAGAAATCAAATACTTAGTAGAGTTTAGAAGAAGTTAACCACCCAGAAAAACAAAACGATACAATTAAAATTTTAAATTTGAAAATAGAAGAACTTTTTGTAGACTGTGAGATTATAACATGTTGACTATTAAGCTCAAACCAGATGCATAAGGTGTGCAGTATTAGGAAAGCATGTTCCCTGCTTTCAAGAAACAAGATTTAGACATAAATAATGATCATGTAAGTTAGAAAATATTTGTTATAATAGAAGGCAATTATGCCATTTAAGAGAGAGAAGAAAGATTTTTTTTTTTCCTGTTGGGGAGGATTAGAAGAGGTTTCATGAGGGAAATGGCAGAGTTGTGGGGTTGAAATAAACCCACCCAAACTCATTTCAGCCTTCCTTCAGAGACCAGCCAGAAATTCCCCTGGTTAAAAACTGTAAAAAGGGATGTTGAGGAAGGGGCAATAAGGCTAGATGAAATCCTCAAAATATCATCAAGAGTTGAGAGTTCATTTTTAATCCAACGGGAAACCATAGCAGAGTTTTGAGGCAAGAGTTAGCTATCAACGTTGTGTCTTAGATTATTCTGACACTGTGTATAAATCGGGTTTTTTTTTTAAATACTATGGGTGGGAGGGGTAAAAAAAAAAAGCACTCAGTGGACAAAGGAACTTGCTGTCACACCTGATTAGTTTTGATTCTAGGGACTCACAGGGTGTAAACAGAGAACCAACTCATGCAGGTTGTTCTCTGACTTACATATGTGTGTGCTATGGTCTACACACACACACACACACAAACACACACACACACACACATTTTTAATGATTAAAAACATAGCAGAGATTGAAGACCAATACAGTGGCCATTGGTATATTGGACCAGGTGCCAGGAAACAAAGAAGGAAAAAAATCAAAGGAGATGGCAGTTCCAACAGGAGAGGGGGAAGGATGGATGGCGAGGGCTCCAGGATTGGTGTCAGCAGTGGAAGAAGGATGCACGCCGCTTTGAGAATAACTGCCTCTGTGCCAAGGAGATTGGCAGTGCCCTGACACTGAGAAAAGAAACAGAGAAAGATGACTTAAGGAAGAGAGAGGGTTTCGTTTACGCAGAATATATTTATTGGGCACGTACTGTGTGCCAGGCACTGTTCAGGGCGGGGTGAGGTGGGTAGTGTGAGAGTTACCTTTAATTTTTAAAGTACTTGATGTGGAAGAGGCTCCATTCCAGTCTGTGTGACTCTAAAGTCAGAGCTGGAGCCAGCGAGTGGGAGTTGGGTAGGAAGTAAACGAGCTTTCTAATGAACGGTGGCTTTGGCTGGGTAGTGAGAGCCCTGCCATAGGCAGCATTCAAGCGGAGGATGGTGGCCTTCCAGGAACACCGGGGCAAACATCTGTCCTTGGGACGGGGGGCTAGACTAGCCTTTCTGACAATCCTCTTCTAGCCCTATGAGTCTCTTCTCGGATGAGGTAGTTCCACGGGTTCTATTATTAATCTGTGGTTTCTCTCAATTATTAAATAAATTACTCAGTCTGTCTGCCATTCAGTAAAACTCACACATTTACATCTGTTATTCTTGAATTATTTTTGGTTAGGGCTCTTCTTCTTTATTAAAAAAAAAAATTCTCCCCAGTTAATGTTACCTTTATAGATATTTTAGAATGGGATGCCTGGTAGATAGGGTTATAAATACCAGAGGCAGAAAGACATTTCTTGTGCCTAATAATGTTGTTATTTAGAATGAACAGGGAATGAATTGTCTTGACTTGCAGATTATGATGCCGTTTCTATATGTTGCACTAATTCAAAAAATTAAATTAAAAAAAAAAAACCAGAGAGGTTCACTTTGCTGCGGCATGGTAAAGAAAAAGAATAATTACACTGTGAAGCTTTCCATCAGAAACACTTCCCTCTGGTGCCTTTTAAAAGGGAGAAAGGCGAGGAAGGAAGGGGAAAGGGAACCTGTAGTGAGAGCCTTGTTGTGAGCTGTAGTTCAAGCTTCGCGTTGCCTGGTGTCTTTTGAAACGTAAAAATCCCACAACAAATAGCTCGGTAATGTATAGCCGGGGTGAAGATTCAATTCCGATTTAAGCACTTTGGTTTGCTTTTGAGTCTTGCTATTTTCTGCATTTGTTTTGACTGCTCTCATCATTCAAGATTGACGCTTGGATGGGTGTGTAGGAGGGAGCAGCAGCAGCAGGCTTACAGCTTGCAGACAAAAAAAAAAATCTGCCTTATCTGATGGCTATTATTGAAAATGCGAGGTGTAGCCTGGGCTGGGTAATGAAGGGGAGCGAGTGAGGGGGAGCAAGGAGCATGGAGCTGCATACTGATGAGTGTAGGAGTGCTTGATAAAAAGAATTCTGGCGGCTGGCCGTGCATTGCTCATTGTGGAGTACTCCAACAGTCACAGTGAACGCGGAGCAGCCCAGGCTGACAGCTTGATGTGCCTTCTTCTCCTGCCTGGTTTTGGGGGCTGTATGACGCACTGGTCGGTAGTAAAGATTAATATGTAAGAAATGTGGAGCTAGGATCAAGTCATACTCCACAGCCTGCCTGGCAAACTATGTGTTACTTCTGACTTTGCTCTCTCGCTGAGAACATTAATCTGTCAAGCTGGCGGGCTCCTTCGATAACAACTTTCCCAGAAGCATGATGTGGCAATGCCACCTCTCAGCCCAGGACTACCGCTATTACCCCGTGGACGGCTACTCCCTGCTAAAACGCTTCCCTCTTCACCCTCTTACAGGACCCAGATGCCCTGTCCAAACAGTGGGACAATGGTTGGAAAGCATTGGGCTACCTCAGTACGAGAACCACCTGATGGCTAATGGATTTGACAATGTACAGTTTATGGTAAGATGCTCTCTGTGTCCACGGAGCTGCCTTTTGTCTGTCTTTGCTTCTTATGTGTCTTACATGGCTCAGAGGCAGCCTGATTTGCACGGAAATGGATCAGCTTTATATATGTAGCTGCATCAGAAAATTGAATGCCTTGAGAACAGAACTTGCTGTGTGCATGTAGACACCGACTAGAAAAATGGGATCTATATGCATCCTTTAGACATGTGTGTTGTATGAATTGGTGAGAGCTCTATTTATAGGCTCTGAATGAAGATTAACATTTATATTCTCCCTGTCATTCTTTGTGTGGTTTTTTTTCCCCTATAAATTTGTGATCTTAGCATACCATTTTATTATACCATGCTTCAGCTAGTCCTACATTCTGGAGACATGTTATTTCACTTTAACATCAGCATTATGATTAATTAGACAGTCCGCTATGTTGTCGGTATGAAGATCCTTTTTCCTGCTAATCATTCAATAAGCAGCTTAAATCCTGTGGACAGCCCTTCCTTAGCTAGCCGCTTCAGCCGGTCCATTAGCAAGAGCATGGTCTTCCTTCCACATGCTGCCTAAAGAGAGATGAAGTATTGTTTGTTACTTTAGGTGAGAAACAAACAACTTGGACCAATTTGCTGTCAGTGAATAGAAAGGGGCTGGTGTACCAAATACAGGGATGCACTTCCGAGTCCTGGTCTATGGGCAATCTAAAGCAGGCAGCAGGCGTGTGCAAACTTCTCACTGTGCATATAGGTGAGGAGGAGGAGGAGGAGGAGGAGGAGGAGGAGGAGGA